CCCCCAAATAAAAAATGTGTGTGTGTGTGTGTATACATACAAACACATATACATACATATACTCACATATATAGAGACTAAAACCTTATTTCTCACAGCCATATTGGCAGTAATAGATTAGTACAAACAAGTATTTTATTATTAAATGAGTGCTAATAGAAATATAAATTGGGTGCCATGGCAACTATGGATTAATTAAATGACTAGGGTGGGACAAAGGCAGCTAGCTTCTTAGCAAAGAAGAGTATGCATTCATCAGATAAATTGAGTAGACTTTGCTTGTATGGAGAGGAACATATGGAAGAGAATAAAAAATACTCTGGATGAATGAAACTCTGTGAGATGAAATACAGAAACAAGACTGGCTTATTCATGAAGTTTTGAAGTCAGAAGAGAAAAGGAAGTTGGGTGTGGTGGTCTATGGCTGTGCTAGCATTTGGAACCCAGAAGCAGGAGGAAGCTCACAAGTTTAAGGCCAGCCTGGACTGCATAGTGAGTTCATACTAGGCAGTTTAACAAAGTTGGACCTCATCTCAAAAAAAGAATAAAAGAAGAAATATTAGAACTATTTAGCAAAGGCAGGAGTATGCCAATAGAGCAGTTACACTGAAACATAATAGAGACAATTCTCTCATATTTCTTGGGGAAAAATACATATCTAAACAGCTACTACCACGAAAAATTCCCGAGTAGCTTAATGGTTAGTTTACTTTTATTTTATATAAATCTTTGTACCAAATGTTTGAATTCCTGTGTTTTCTTATTAGTAATCTAAGAACAAAGCTAAGTTGGAGAGAAAGGGGCATATGTAGTTTAGTACGGTGTTTCTGTTGCCTTAAATGAAGTAGTCTGCAGTGTGGAAATCCTGCTGAGAAGGGAAAACCAGGTAAGAGTAACTTGGACATTATTACTGCCTTAGTCTTAAAGGTTTGTGGGGTTTTTTTTGTTTGTTTGTTTGTTTTTTATAGTGAGTGTGTGTGTGTGTGTGTGTGTGTGTGTGTGCACTTGTGCATGTGCTGCTGTATGAATACACAAGTCATTAGTGAACAACTTTCAGGAGTTCTTTTATCATGTGAGTTCTGAGAATCAAATACATGTTGTCAGTATTGGTGGCAAGCCCCTCTGCCTACTAGCCATCTGGTTATTCTTTATCATACATGTTTATGCACTATCCCATTTTAACTAAAAATTAATGTTGAAAATATGGACTCTGCTATAGCAAAGATCATGAGTAACTTATTAAACTTAAATTCAGTATTTTCACCCCCTTGCTTCTTTTAGACCGTATAATGAAGAAACCGGAAGAGTCGGAATCATATGTAGAGCCTGAAATTAAGAGGAAAGTACAACAGAAACGGCACTGTAGTGCTTACCAGCTGTCTCCACTGTCCCCTGTCTCAAAGAAGTGTTTGACCCATCTAGAGGTAGGTAGAGAAGTTACTTTTCTTACTAATCACATAGCATTCATATTACTATTTTCAAATCTAATTTTATGACTATATATGTTTGTGAGAGTGTGGTCACATGCATGCCATGTCATAAGGTGGAAGTCTGTGAACAGCCTTTGGAAGTCAGTTCTTCCACTATGGATCCTCAGGATCAGACTCAGGTTATCAGGCTTGCAGGCTTTCCTTACTGAGCCATTTCACTAGCTTGTTCACATTGTCTTTATTGCTTATTACATTCTAGGTGACTTTGCATCATATGACCCAAAGGAACCTAGAGAAGTTATTTAAGTAAATGTTTCTGGTTTAAATAGTCCATTCTACTTGTCCAAAATATAGAATTATTTTCTGTAAATAATTTTATCAGTGCATCCCTGAAACATAATCTGGCCTATTATACTCAGCTAAAAACTAAAGAGACAAAACATTTTTTTAAAAAAAAATTGTTTTTATTTGGTTGGTTTTTGTTTTGGGAGACAGGGTCTTATTCATTACCAGCTAACCCAAAACTCACCTTGTAGCCCAGGTTAGCCTCCAGTTCATTACAATCTTCTAGCTTTAGCTTTCAAATTGTTGATTACAGGCATGAGGCATCATATGTAGCTATAAAATTTATATAACCTAGGGCGGGAGAGATGTCTCAGTTAGAAAAACACTTGCCAAACAAGCCTGAGGACCTGAGTTCAAATCCTCAGAACCAGTGTAAAACCAAGGGTGATAATCCATGTATGTAATACCAGTGCTCCTAGGGCAAGATGGGGAGCAGAGACAGGAGAATCCAGTGGCAAAACAAGGCACTGTCTCAGATAAAGGACTGAAACCCAAGCTTGTCCTCTATCCTGTTTGCATTCATTCTTCTCTCTCCTTCCCTTACTCCTCCTCATCTCTCCCTTTTCACATCTCCCCTCTTTTTCTTCTCCTTCTCCTTAATTTCATCTTTCTCCCCCAACTCCTCCCTCCCCCCCTGCATCTCTCCCTCCTCCCTCCCTTCTTTCCCCCATAAATACAATATTACACACACAAAAAAAATTTTTTAATTAAAAAATACTACTTTGGGTCTGCTCAGTGTTTAAGAACACATACTGCTCTTACAGAGGACCTGAGATCAGTTCCAAGCACCCAACTTAGGCAGCTCACAAGCACCTGCAACCCCAGGTCCAAGGCATCTGATGTTTTCTTCTGGGCTCTATGGTAACCAATGCTTATACATGCACATACTGCCCCAACATAGAAATAATTTAAAAATAAAATAAACCTCATGTTAAATACTGATTTTAAACTTACTGTCTGGTCTACAAAACCCTTTTTTTTTTTTTTTTTGGTTTCTCTCTGGGAACCTTAGGACATTGGCCAGCTGGGCAGGTACCATGTCACTGACTTATATTCTCATTCAGATTTCATGTAAACAGTGCTTAGGCTTCATTCCAGTGTCATATGTTGCATTTATTTACCACAACTCTTCCATCTGTTCTTTTGCCTGTATGTATGTCTGTGTGAGCTGTCATCTGGGTGCTGAGAATTGAACCAGGTTCCTCTGTAAGAACAATCAGTGCTCTTAACCACTGAGCTATCTCTCCAACCCCAACTTTGGTGTTTTATAAGGTGCTTAGGTCATTACTTCATGGCTCATACTGCATTTATCTGTTGTTTCATCACAATTATATATTTTCAATGTTTATCTGAGAAATAATGTGTATCTTCTCATTGTGCAGCGTATTGGGAGCCACATGGTGTTGATTTTCACCTTAGTTAAGATGTCTTCTTACACATTTCTAAACCTGTCCTCTCCCTTCCCTTTTACATGGGATCAAATCCTGAGTATTGGATGTTACACAGACCTATGTTGACACATACATACACCAAAAGAGATGGTCAGATATCCTTCTTTATCACACTCTACCTCTTCCTTTGAGACAAAATCTTTCTCAGGAACCTGGGATTGGCATTTTCGTGCCTAGGTTGGAAACCAGCAAGCCCTAGTGGGAATACCCAGTTCTTAAATGGGTCCTGAGATGTGAATTTCTGGCCTGATAATAGAGTAGCAAGTGCTAGCTATTCTGCCCATATTTAGTTGTGTATCATGAGCACATGGATTCTTATTTACTTGGGTTATAGTCTTTAACTTTAACGTGTTTTGAAGCTCAGATGATTCCTACTATTGTTTGTGGACCATCCCTTCAACCTGGTCCCTTTCTTTTAAGGGCTTCTTTATTTGGTATAACAACGTAATCTATACTTATTCATTTTTTTTCAATCTCAGCCCAAGAGTCATACTTCTCTTCAGGAAGTCATTGTTTCTATTCATTGACATTGAGCTTCTATTTGTATTCCTTACCATTACACAGGGCTAGGAAATACACATGTATGTGTAGTAAAGCCCTTTAGTTGATTTCGGTGTTTATCTTTTGCCCTTTGTAGGACTATAATTCATTTTGGCCATAGAATTTTGATTACCATCATCCCTACTGTATTTTTATGTATTTGCTCAGTTTTCCCTTATTTACCAATCTCCCGGCTTGCCACCCTAAAGTTGGCTCAGACCATACTGGTGTCTCCTAAAAGGAGGAAGTGGGAGGAGAGAAGCTCCTTCTCATCACAGCATCCTTCTTCCCTGGGCTGGCTGCCGGCTCAGAGCCTCAGAACTGCTTCATGCCTAAAGACCTTCTTTGACTCTACTTCTGTGCCAGTTGATTCTATTTCCCTCAGAGAGAGGACAGATTGTAGATAGTCTCTTTGTAACCTTTAATTTACAAACAATATTAGTGGTTTATCTTTCTTTTTAAGACTGTAAGACTCTACACTGCACTGCTTTTAAGAAAACAGGAGCGAGGGTGGTGGTAGTGGTACACATACAGCACTCAGGAGGCAGAGGCAGGCAGAGCTCTGTGAGTTTGAGGTCAGTGTGGTCTACAAAGTGAGTTCTAGGACAGCTAGGACACAGAAACCTTGTCTCTAAAAACCAAAAAAAAAAAAAAAAAAAAAAGGTGGTGATATATTGTGTACCCTAATAAACTTGCTTGAGGATCAAAGGACAGAGCCAGCCATAGAGGTCAGGCAGTGGTGGCACACATCTTTAATCTCAGCACTTGAGCTCTCATGCCTTTGCTTGGGAAGCACACATGCCTTTAATCCCAGGAAGTAATATGGCAGGGCAGAGAAAGGTATATAAGGCCTGAGGAAAGAGGAACTCTCTCTCTTTAGGCTGAGGATTTCATAGAGGTAAGAACTAGTGACTGTTCTGCTTCTCTGATCTTTTGCTTTCACCCTAATATCTGGCTCTGGGTTTTTTATTAAAAGACCATTTAAGATTACAACAACAACAACAAAACAAAACAAAAAACAAAGAAAGGAAAGAAAGAAAAGAAACCAGGATTGTTGACTTTAATATAATTGAATATCTTTTGGATACATAATAAGAATGACATTGTTTGAGACAGGCTTGTTTTAGTTAAGTAAGGTTTTTCATGTATAGAATCTTAGACATAGTATGCAATATTAAATTTGTAGTATTTTCTTGTTGGAGTTTTGAGGATCAATCTTTATGCTGAGAGAACCTATCAAACTACTCACCTAACCCTGTAATTTGAAGTTATTTAACTTTGTGAGTTTTTTTTCAATGACCAAATGGAACAAAATTAGATTTTAATCAATTTTTCATAAAAAAATTATAATTATGGAAGTTTTTACTTTACGCGAATAATGAAAAAATTTAAGCTGTACAAGACTATAATCCCATCCTTCATCAGGGCGAGAGAGGCAGGAAGGTTGCTCCAAGTATAAGATCAGCTTGATCTACATAGTGACTTCCAAGGCAGCTGGTGATTCATGGTGAAACCTTTTCTCAGAAAATCAAAAATAATGAAGTGAAGGAAGAGAGGGTTACATATACCTTAGGAGAACTAAATAGTATTTCATTTTGAGATTCATTTTTATTAGTTTCTTTTGGGCTTGGGTGTCAGGAGCTGCACTAGGGCTGAGCTTTATTCCCAGCTGCATTTGCAGGTGGGGCATGTGTATGTGCTGCATGTCTGTCCGTCTCACTGTGCGGCCCAGGCTATCCTTCACTTCCACTCTTCTTCCTCAGCCTTGCAAGTGCTATACTTAGAGGTGTATGTCACAATCTTTGCTTGGAATTATTTTTATTTCCTTTTTAATATTTATTTTTAGTTTTGCATATATGTCTGTGTGTATGTGCTTGTGAGTACAGGTGCCCTCAGAAGCCAGAGGTGTCAGATCCCCATGGAGCTCTACTTTATAGACTCTTTTGATCTATATGGGAATTATAGCTAGAGTTTTCCTGCCTGGCCCACAGTCAGGACAAATCTTTGTCACCCGCCAGTCCCACAGCCTCTCACACCCGACCAAGTAAACACAGAGACTTATATTGCTTATAAATTGTATGGCCGTGCCAGGCTTCTTGCTAACTGTTCTTATAGCTTAAATTAATCCATTTCTATAAATCTATACCTTGCCACATGGCTCGTGGCTTACTAGTGTCTTCACATGCTGTTTGTCATGGTGGCGGCTAGCAGTCTCTCCTACCAACTTCCTGTTCTCTCAATTCTCCTCTCTGTTAGTCCCGCCTATACTTCCTGCCTGGCCACTGGCCAATCAGTGTTTTATTTATTGACCAATCAGAGCAACAGATTTGACAGACAGACCATCCCACAACAATAAACTGAGCTCAGATCCTCTATAAAAGCAGCATGTGATCTTAACCACTGAACCATGGCTTGAAATTCTTAACCTCTAGTTTTTATCATTAAAACTTTAGTGTCTGATTCGATTCATTAATTGCATTTTGTTTTTGATTGCTGCAATTAATTTTATGATGTGTGTATGTCTTAGGTGATGAAAGGTAGAGTTATACTTACTGTTTTAGTATCATTTTTCTAGAAAGATTACTTAGAATTGCTGTTTTTCCATGTACTTTTCTTTTAAATATGTTTTATTTATCTTTATTATAGACAGTAAAGTTGAAATCAAGCACTTGGGGTGTTTCTTTTTTGTTTGTTGGCTGGCTTGTTTGTGGTACTGAGAAATCAACCCTAGCTCTGTTATATGCAAAGCAAAGTCTCTACCTTTCCTAGTTTTTTTTCCATTTTGATTCTTAAGGATAAAAATGAGATTGTGATAGCTAACTGCTGGACAGGATGGCCTTGAAATTTTTTCTAGCATTCTGTTGCTGACCCCCAAATCATATGACTGATTCAGGATCTTAGGGAGGCCTTAGGAGTGATGATGGAAAAACAAAGACTTCATTTGGAGGCTTTTGATGCTAACTTAAAAAACTTAAAATACCAAAGTGTTTTCTCTCTTTCTTTCTCTCTCTCTTTTTTTTTTTTTTTTTTTTTTTTTTTTTTTTTGGAACATAAGGTATCTGAACAGCGTGAACGTTGCCCAAAATGTGGAAAAGAAAAAGAAAATCAGACCAAATGCCAAAGTTGTGGTATTGTTTTTCATAATGATTTGCAAAGAAATTGCAGACAAGCTGTAACTTTGAATGAACCAACTGGACCATTATTAAGAACGTCAATTCATCATAGTTCTGGAGGACAGAAGTCACAAACAACAGGATTAACAGCTAAGAAGTTTTATGGTAACAGTGTGGAAAAGATTCCAGTTGATATTTTGGTGACTTGTGATGCTAGTAGACATAACTACATACAGACTAATGGAAAAGTCATTTTACCTGGGGGGAAAATACCTAAAATCACAAACCTGAAAGACCGAAAGACAAGCCTGTCAGATCTAAATGATCCAAGTAAGTATCCTCTTCTTGTTTCCTCTCTCCCTTCCTGAGATCCAGAAACCCGGGGGGTCACTCCAGTGGGCTCCACTGATGCCCTGGCCTTCACTCCTGAAGTGTACCACCATGTGCACCTCCATGCCTAGATTAACTGTATTCTTCAGTGACAATCCAATATTTTAATTGTGTGGTTTTTAATGTGAGCATATTTGAGAAGCAGTTTCCAGAGGTATCTATCTTCTTGTGGCAGATAATGCAGCATTTGGGGAGCATGTGATTTAAACATGTCCATGTAGTTGTGAAATAATAACTGACTGTATTCCCATTCCCCTCATGTTAAATAGTCAATAAAAAAAACAGTAACTTGGCCCTAGTCTTTGCTCATGCTAATTATTGCTTATTTTGACATAGTCTTTATCTCTTGCCTAGACTTTTTGTATGTGTGCTTGCTGTGTAGGCTAGCCTGGCTGACCAGTGAGCTCCAGGGGTTAGCCTGTCTCTTCCTTTCCAATGCTGGGGCCAGAAATTACCATGCCCAGCCTTCTTACGTGGGGTTGTGGAGATTGAACTTGGGTACTGGATGATTGCAAGGGTTTGCCAACTGAACTGTATCCCAACCCCTTTGTTACTGATTTGAGGAAATAAAATAACATATAAATAACAAATAATCATAGTTCAGTATGATATTTGACACATAGCAAGGACTCAGTAGAAATAAGTTTTCTTACTACAAGGCAAGATAGTTCATGGATATTTTTAAGCCATGTTAAAGAAGGTGCACACACAATTTAAAAGTTTATAGGTACCAATCACTGTAATAGGATTTTACATATCTTTGTAACATATAGATACCATTGTTGTCTCTGATTTCAGAGAGGAGAGAAATTGAATCAAATAACCAGCTTTGAAAAGAATAATAAGCCAGTATTTGTTATGAAACTAGATAACAAAATCAAAGAGATAATGGATATTACTGGAGTGATGGTCCTCTGAGGCATGTATATTACTCATTAAGTATTAACTGAGCATGTATGTGTGGGGTGCTAAAACGAAAAACGCCCATGTAAGTTCATACATCATGCCTTCTTTAAAATCCAACCTCCTTTATTAAAGTTATTTACCAGGAGTAAGTAATTCACAGGCAGCTGTATCATCAGAATGTCTTTAACCAACTTTTTTTTACTCTTACACAGGACCACTTTGAATATCCTATGTGAAGCACAGTTTTTGGTTCTGGAATATAGCAGTGAGCAAGACATTGTCTCTGCTCTTAGAGTTAGTTGCAAGTCAACTTTTACAACAAAGAGTGATACGGCATTGAAATCAATGAGTACCTGACTGTCTCTGTGCTTGCATTAGTTTAGGTTGTCCATCAACAGTGATATTCAAGCTAGTGCTTTATGACAAACGATGAAGAGTGTTGAAGGTAGACTAGTCAACAGAAATTCTTGCTAGTGTTTCAGTGATGGGGATTTTATTCAGTACAGTGCAGTTAACTTATGGATTATGATACAGGCATAGATCTGATAAGGTATAGAGTAACGAGTACAAGACCTAAGCAAATTGTCGTTATAATTGTCTTATCCATGTTTATAAAGCAAGATTTATTGAGCATTAGATATTAGTACAATTTTTATAATTTTAAGTGCTTCCCATTATAAGGCAAAAATATTTGGTCACATATTTAAAATGTAGGTTATTTTGAACATAATTTGGATATTTTCAAACCATGAACTTTCTTTAATTCTGAAATAGATCTCTGGATAATTCTTGTGAGTTACTGGAGTAGCTGTGTGGGTTAGTGGTCATTATATCATGCTTTATTTTTTTCCTTGGCAATACTGGAGATTTGAATCCAGAACCTTGTGCATGCTAGACAAGTGTTCTGCCCCTAAGCTATATCCATAACACGGGTGGTGGTGATTATAGAAGCTAAAGCTAAAGAGTTGATTTCATATTTATCCAGTATTTTTATAAAGATTATAAATCATGTGCTTTTTTTAAGAATTTTATGAGATACAATGGATTTTGTCTTCCCTCGTGTGCCTGTGCGTTAGAGAGAGAGAGAGAGAGAGAGAGAGCGAGAGCGCTTGCTTTCAAACTTTACATGGATTCCAGTGATCAAACTCAGGCCACTGGGCTTGTGCAGCAAGCAATTTTACATGCTGAGCCATTTCATTGGCTCCTCCTTCATTTGCTTTTACTGGTCTATGGAGAAGTTTAAGACAAATTTGGTATATTTCCCAGTTAAGTTTTTTACAGACAGAAATGAAATATACGGGTGGTAGTGACGCATGCCTTTAATCCCAGCACTTGGGAGGAAGAGGCAGGCGGATCTCTGTGAGTTCAAGGCCAGCCTGGTCTACAGAGCGAGATCCAGGAAAGGCACAAAGCTACATAGAGAAGTACTGTCTTGAAAACAACAACAACCAAAAAAAAAAAAAAAAAGATTAAAAAAATGAAGAAGTGAAATATAAATGTAAAAATTTTGAATGTCAATTTTGGATTTTCTTTCTGATTGTAGTCATTTTGTCCAGTGATGACGACGATGACGACAGGACTCACAGAAGAGAGAGCATATCCCCACAGCCTGCTGACTCGGCATGCTCTTCTCCGGCACCATCTACTGGAAAAGTAGAAGCTGCATTAAATGCAAATATTTGCAGAGCAGAGCAGGAATCTAGAAGCAATCCAGCAGAATCGGAGTTAAATACAGTTGTCGTATCAAGAAAAGCGAGAATGAAGGACCAGGTACATTCAGATTGAGGTCTTCCCTTTGGGGTGTAACCTGGCTTTCAGGAGTAATTTGTTAATGATAGCAAGAGAAGGTGGCCTATTCACTAATCTGTCCTCAAATACTGTTAAAAAATTCTTTTAGAAGACCATTAAACTATATACAAAAATAAATTACAATTTAATCAAAGGCTTAAGTTACAAATCCAACAAGAAAAAAAAAGCCAGTATAAGGTGGTAGTGGCACATGCCTTTAACTCCAACACTCAGGAGACAATGACAGACACATCTCTGAGTTCAAGGCCAACCTGGTCTACAGAGTATGTTCCAGGACAGCCTGGGCTGTAACACAGCAAAACCCTGTCTCGGGCGGGGGGGGGGGGGGGGAGATCCAGTATTATTCTTAACAAAATGTCAGTATAGATTCCTTTTTCATGATTTCTGTGACCAGAAATGTTTTAAATTTCAGTTTTTTAAAATTTGGAATATTTGCACATATTATAACTAGATACTTGGAACTAGGACTTAAGTCTAAAAGGAAATTATTTATATTTGTCACATACAGTGTATGGTTAACCTTGAGGTAAGTTTTGCACAGTATTTTTAGTTCATTACGTTTTCTTTCATTTTTTTTTTAAATTTCTTATTTTTATTTATGTATATATGTGTGAGTATATGCACAGAGGCCATAGGCCATATCCTTTGGAGCTGGAATTGCAAGCAGTTGTGAGCCACCTGATGTTCGTGCTGAGAACTGAACTCAGGTCATCTGGAAGAGCAGTATGTGGCCTTAACCACAGAGCCATCTTTCCAGTACTTCGCTTGCATTTTACTGCAGCCCATCACTTTAGTCCAGGTGTGCCGTGTTGGTGCTCAGAAAGTTTCAGGGTTTGGAGTCGTTCAGACTTTAGTGATGATGTGTGTATATGTGCATGTGGTATGCATATGTGTGTTTCTAAGAAAACCTAGTAGGCTAGTAGTTATTTTAATTTCAGTCTATGTCACCATAGTATAGTTATATCTTAACCATATTATAATTTGCTTAAAAATTTCAAAATATTCAGATAAAAAGATAGTGATGTAAATAAAAAGATTCATAGAGATATTTATAATGCAGATGATATACAATATTGAAATAGACCAAATGTTATTAAAAGTGAGAGAGAGACTAGGGCTGGCGAGATGGCTCTACAAATAAAGGTGCTTGCTGACAAGACTGATAATATTATTTCAATTCCCAGGACCTCCACGATGGAAGAATAAAACCAACTTCTACAAACTCTGACTTCCATGTGCATACTATAGCACTGCCTCTCCCCATCAATATATAAATGTTTACAAAAAGTAAATAACCAAAACCGGGTATAAAAACCAAAAGAATAAGGACCAGATGTACCCAACCTTTTGACAGTATAAGGTGATAGTCACTGTAAGGTAGTGATGGTCACTATAAGGTGATGGTGATGGTCTTTGAGATAAACTACAGAGTTCATGCTGGAGACTTGAACAGTTAAATTATTATTGTTTATTTAAATCTCAGTGTTTTAAATAAGTTTACAATTGTGTTCATAGTTGGTGTTGGCTACATATGGCCATCAGAACATAAGTTGGACATGCTGTCAGAAAAAAACTACCGCATAAAAAGTATAAATTAGTAAGGAAGAACTGCTTGGGGAAAATGAAATTTAATTATTTACTAAGACTTTTAAAGTTAGTACAAAGTAGTATGTGTTCCTGATAAGAATTCAAGGGAATAGGAGGGTACTTTCTGTTTTAGCAATAGAAAGGAAAGCTATGTAAAAAGAGAAAAAAGAAAAAATACCTTAAAATTTTAAATATTTATCATTTGACCCCATAGAATTCTTCTCAAAGGAATTCTTCCCTCTTTCCCAAGGTGTGAAGTATTTATACAACAAGATTGTTTGCTGAGCATGGTGCCTCATGCCTGCAATCCCAGCACTTGGTAAGCTGAGGCAGAAGGATCATTTCACATTTGATTGAGACTATTCTGGGGTAGAGTGAGTTCTATGCCAACCTGGGCTACAAAGTGAGACCCTGTCTCTAAAAACAAATCAAAACAAAATTGAAGCCAAAACAAAACATTAGTAATGAGAAAAATCACTGTCCACTAATACAGGTATGGCTGAAGAATCCTGGCTTAATAATAGGCTGGACCAGTGCAACCAATTGAAGATAGAATTAGAGCTAAATCAATATATAGTACTCTTTAGAGGGGATAACAAGATATAGGAATATATGAATTTGTAAAGTGAGCATGTTTTACAAAATGAACATTTTTTTTAAAGCAGAAGTTTAAGCAGAGTAACAGATTTACTAAGAAAACTGGAACCTTAAGAAATGAGAAACAATACAAGCAATTCAAAGATTACTTTAAAAAAATGGATTGGTATTTTTACATAATCTTAGTGCCTTTCTAAACAACAATACAAGCAAAAATAAATAGCAGAGGTATAGGTACATTTTAAGAAAGAAATTCAGATCAGTGTATGAAACATGATCAAGATTTGATAGGTTAGTGTAAGTGAGGAAAAATAGCATCAATTGATACTGTCAGTTGTTGATTATATATTTGCAATTCATATATATATATTTTTATAAAATATATATATTTTCTTAAAGTCAAGAAGGACTAAGGAGAGGAGACAGCTGTTACTAACATGCCTGCCACACAGCCTGAAGACCTGAGTTTGATACCTAGCACTCATGTAGAAAGTCAAGTGCGGATCATAATCTTACGCTGGAGAAGCAGGCACAGGTACATCCTTGGATTTACTAGCCAGTCAGCCTTACTCAGTCCGAGAGCCCCTATGGCCTAGTGAGACTGTGGCTACTGGCACATGCTGACATATGGGTGCACATGTGTGTGCATGTGAGCTTTGAAAAATGAGTAAAGAAAATGAGTAAAGTTCAGGAAAGGTGGTAATCAGTTAGTGAGTATGAAATAAATTGCTCCTTGCTAGCTATATTGATTGCCAGAAGGTTTTCTAACTGTGGGAGTGCTCCAGTGGTGTTTGGAAAGATGAGATGTTAGGGCTGAAAATTGGTATAACTTCACTGGAGAGTAGTTGAGCAATAATTGCACATAGGAATAACTGCACTCTTCTTCAGAAATGCTTACTGGAAATAGTTTGCTGTAGGACACACAGGAAGTACATGCAACATACAAGAGTTCTGTTAAGTGAGCTGGACTTTCATGTGATCGGATTATCCAGGTTTTTGATGAGACACTGACCAGAAGGCTTTTATTTCTCATTTCAAAATGTGATGCTCTGTGGCAGGGTGTGGATCTTTCAGACTCCCATCTTTCTAGGATTCTATTGGGAACAGCACTTATTCTCTGTCATTGGTGAACAGAATAGCTCTCATTTGAAAAATGACTGTAAAGCTTAAAAACCAAACCAAGCCAAAACAAACATGTCCAAGACCTTTTAAAAAGGTCTTTGATGTGTTCCTATTAATAATTTAGGAAGTTATAATAACCAGTTTCTTAGCCTGAAAAATCAGTGTATAAAGCCGTATCTCTATGGTTGTGTGTGTTTTTCTTTGAGGATTTGGGAGGTGGCAGGTGTTTGATAGTCTCACTTTCCAGCCCTGTCTAACCTTAAACTCTTTGGAGCTTGGGCTGGCCTCAAGTTCTCAGATGTACTTCTACCTCAGCCTCCTAAGTGTTGAGGCCACACAAGGTTCTTCAGTTAAGGTAATTATCTCTAGTTTCATCCATGGTGTTGCAAATGACAGGATGTTTGTGCTTTTATATGTCTGAGAAGTATTTTGGTATGTCGGTGTGCCATAGTTTTATTTTTACTTCCTTCATCAGTTGTGCACATAAGGTGTTTCTCTTATCTATTGTGAATAGTGCTGTAATGGACGTGGCGCTGTAGATGTCTCTTTGACAGACTGGTTTCATGCACTTTGTATTAGTATTGATAGTTCTCTTGTTCGTCATGTTTCCATAATGGCCGTACTAATTTACAGTGTGCCTTTTTGTGTGCGTCCTTGCCATCTTTCTCATGCTGTCTGGAGATGCTTTGCTGTGGTATTGATTTGCATTTCCTTTGTGATTAATGATGCTGATCATGTTTTTCTTAATACCTGTTAGCTATTTATGTACCTTGCTTTGTGAACTATCTATTTAAATCTATTGTGTCTGTCTGTCTGTCTGTCTGTCTGCCTGTCTTCATTTATTTATTTATCTCATTTAGCCCAGGCTGTCCTTGAACTTCCTATGTAGCTAAGGATAACTTTGAGTTTCTGTTCTTCCTGCTTCCATCTCCCCAGTGCTGGAATTATAGGCATGAACTTCAGTGCAAGCTTGCCCAATTTCTAATTCATTTGTTTCTGTCTTCATTGTTGAGTCCCTTATGTAGTCTAGATAGTAACCCTTTTTGGCTATATAGTTAGCAATTTTTTTTCTCATATTCGGCTTTCTTTTAGTTTTTTGTTATTTTGTTTTTTCATTGTCTTGTATGAAAAGACCTTTGCGTTTCCATCATTTGGAATTATCTCCCCTGTATTTGTTTGTACATATTTCATAGTTTTTAGATTGTATATTAAATCTTTAATCCATTTAGAGTTTTTTTAATATAGTCAAGAGATAGGAGTCTTTTTCATTATTAATTTAAAAATATATTTTAATTTTTCTATGTGTATGGGAGTTTTGCCTGCATGTGTATATGCGCATCACTGGCTGCCTGATTCCCACAGAGGCTGGAACTGGAGTTATGGATGGTTGTGAGCCATCATGTAGGTGCTAGAAATTGAACTTAGATCTTCTATAAGAACTGCAAGTGTTCTTAACCTATGAGCCATCTCTCCAGCCCTGTTTCATTCTTGTGCCTGTTGATACATTTTCCCTGCATCATTTATGGGGAAAGACTGTCTTTCCTCTAGTGTATATTCCTAGCACTTCTGTCAAAAATATGTTACCTGTAACTGGGCACTTGGGATGTTGAGACAAGAGGATCCTGAGTATTAGGGCATCAAAGTCGACACAAAGATCCAGTCTCAAAAAACCAAAATGGCTGAAATTATAAAGATCAGACAAGAGTTTACTTTCCAGCACCTACAGTAATCAAAACCATCTCTGAAGCTTTCCCTTCCTCCCCTCCAATAGTGTGTATATGTATGCATACTCGTTGGTTAAAATGAAGAACCACACACACAAAATGATTTGCCTGTAGAATAATGAATTTAATTTACTTCCAGGTTTCTTATTCTGTTCCATTGGTTGGTTCTATTGGTTGGCCTGTTGGTTTGTGTTTATTTCACTACCATGCTATTTTTATTACTATGGCTTGGGAGTTTATTTTGAAGTCAGATGACAGCTTTGTTCTTCCTTAAGAAGACTGTAGTATTCAGGGTTTTTTCTCTCTCTCTTTTCTTTGTGATTGCATAGTTGCATATAAAGTGTCAAGATTTGCTTTAGGTTTTTGTTTTTGTCTTTTTTTCCCCAGTTCTTCAAAAAGTGGTATTGGTACTTAGAGATTGCATTAACTCTATAACTCTCTTTTGGTTGGTGTGTGTATTCTAACAATACTAATTCTTCTCCATGAACCTGAGATGCCTTTTCCTCTGTTTGTATGTCTTCAGTTTCTTGATCATAGATATGATTAACTTCTTTGCCTAATTTTATGCCTAGGTGTTTTATTTTCTTATAGTTGTTGATTTTTTTTTTTTTTACTTTTTATTTCAGATAATTGACTGTAGGTAAATGGCAGCACTGTTGATTTTATTGATTTATTTCATATCCTGCAACTCTGAATTTGCTTACACTGATAGCTTGGGGTGGTATTTGGGGGACTTTGTATACTTCCTGCTTTAAGTGTGTACTGTTCTGTGGCAGGCGCTAGAATTATCTCAGAATGATAATGGCTGTCCTGTATAAGATACATGACTTTTGTTGTTTGGTTGGTTTGGATTTTTTTTTCCCTATCCAGATCATGTTTTATTCTTTGTGGGTTTTTTTTTCATGTTTTATTCTTTGATAGTAATATAGTTATTGCAGGTTACAGAAAAATTTAGAGTCTGAAGTGCTCCAAACAGCAAATCTTTGTTAGGTGGGTTTGGATTTCAGACTTTGAGATTATGGATGTTCAGCTAATAAACCTATGCAAAAATATTTGAAAGTCTGAAACACTTCTGATATTATACATTCAGATAAGGTATATGTAATTGTTATAAACACAATTAACTTCAATTGAAATTATAAACATAAAATGTTCATATTGTGATTTGTTTGCATTTGTGAATATAAATTATTGAGGTGTTTTTAAACATTTATTTATTTAATATGTGTGGGGGTGCACATGCCACAATACAAAGGCAGGGGTTAGAGGACAACTAGCAGAGTCGCTTCTTTCCTTCATCCATGTAGGTTGTGGCAGATTGAACTCAGGTCTCCGGACTTGACAGTAGGTGCCCTTACCTACTGAGCTGTACCAGTGGTTCCAGGTCAAGTAACTGGTCTGCATGAATATATAAAATACCCTTTTAAATATTAATATTCTCTTACTTGCTTTGTAAAGAAACAGTGCTTTTAAGTTTTACCGCCGTTACTCATCACTGGCATCCACCCAGGCAGCTTTTCTGTGCATCAGTTACCTCTGACCTGCTCTGGGGCCATTACTCCTTTGAATAGAGGCATTCTTAGACCTCAGTGCTTTTCATTTTAGGAAACTGAAGCTTAAGGAAGTTACTGATTTTTTGCAAAACCATTAGTTATATTTTGGTTGTGATTTGAACATATCCAGTGTGATTTGTGAGTTTAATTCCTGACCACTGTGCTTGAATTTCAACTACAACTTGTGAATTTACTTTATATTATAGCCATAATTTCTATTTCCTCTCACACTGAGGAAGGACAATCAGTCCATGTAGTCAGTGCATGTGTATTTAGTTTGCAGCCTTCTTACAGCACCTTAGTATGTGAAATTTTCTTTTTCTTTTCAGCTGGGCAATCCCATCAGCACACCTTTAAAGCGTCGTAAAATAAACACTCACGGAACTTTAATTCACACTCTGTCACTGCCCCACTGCCAAAACTTTGAGAGTGTCATTTTAAACTGCCGGAGTATACGAGTTGGAACACAATTCCGACTGTTGGTAGAGCCTGTAATTGTAAGTACTTCTTAAACTGTTACTGTACTAATAACAGGATTCAGATGCCTCTGACAAGGTTAATCAATAGTATTTAAAGTTTGTTACATTTTTGAAGTTAATTGAATATCAAAATTATTTAAAGATTTCAGATTGCTTTAAGATTATATAAATAGTAATCAATTAAAAACTACTGGATATGTGAGCCAGGCAGTGGTGGCGCACACCTTTAATCCCAGCACTCGGAGGCAGAGGCAAGCGGATCTCTGTGAGTTTGAGGCAAGTCTGGGCTACAGAATGAGTTCCAGGAAAGGATCCAAAGTTACACAGAGAAACCCTGTCTCAAAAAAAAAACAAAAACAAAAAAAAAAACCCAACTACTATATATGTAAAATTCAGAGTAGTGTTCAATTTATTGTAGGAGATGCATATGACTCTCATACTTAGAGTTAAGTTCTGTCATTTAGTATTTTACTATACAGGGTTAAATACCCCTAGTCCCAAAATTCAAAATTCTCTGAAGTCTGAAATGTTGAGTGATGACCATAATTTAAAAATTTTGTGTCGCTGGATATGGTGGTATATTCTCTGAGCCAGATATGCTAATGTGTATTCCCAGCCATTTTTGGAGGCTGATGCATCAGGATCACCAGGAAGTTGCGTATGGTGGCAGAGTTACAAGCAAGCAAACAGAAGAAGCCAGCTTGGATGATTTAGTAAGAGGCACGTCCTTTAGTTTCCAAAAAAGAAAAAAGTTGAGTTGGTTGTAGGGGTAGAGCTCAGTGATAGACCTCCAGTTTAGCATGCTCTAATCCTTTTCTGTTCAGTCCTCAGTGCTGGTTGGGAGAAGGGAGTTTTAGATTTTGAAGTATTTCAGTTTTTTTATTTTATTTTCCAGTTAGGGATATTTAAGCACTAAAGTCTAAGTAAATACTCCACATGACTGTCTCCAAAATCTGAACCCCTTCTAGTCCTCAACATTTTAGAATTTTGGATGAGGAACACTTGGTCTGTGTTTACTTTTCATGTATCTGTTTACTACTGTTAATGTCTTATCTGTCCTTCAATACATTTCAAAATATTTGCATCTTTGATTTTCTAACATTTCTAAACATGCAAAGTAACTTCATTCAGGTTTATTAATTAGGCTTAATGTTAAGTGCTCTTTACATTGAAATTAAACCTTTTTTTTTTTCTTTTGGTCTTTCGAGACAGGGTTTCTCTGTGTTGCTCTGACTGTCCTGGGATTCACTCTATAGACCAGGCTGGCCTTGAACTCAGAAATCCGCCTGCCTCTTCCTCCTGAGTGCTGGAATTAAAGTCATACACTACTACCACCTGGCTAAAATTAAACCATTTTATAACCACCAATAAATGATGGAAGGAAGGAATGCCAATGGATGCTAAAGCCATTGGATAAAAGATAGCCATACACTTTAAGTATCTTTGCTCAGATTATCGTTGCAAGTGGGCAAACATGGAAACAATGTGAAAGCCTAGCAGGTACTGCTGAGGCCAGGTGACTAAGTTTGCCATTACCAGTGAGACAGCTGGACTCTTCAGAAGGAGAGTGTGGGGTTTCAGCACATCACCCATGTGCTACTTGTACTGAAAATGTGTGCCCTGGGTTTGGAGATAAGGAAACACCCCTCTAGGAGATTGCATGTTTTGTATAACTTAGACTTCATAAAAGCCATGTCATAAAGAGAGGCAAGTTTCTAGTATAGAGTAGACACAGTGGGTACATGCTATGTAATATTGACAGAGTAATGACTGAGGGAAAGTAAAAACAAGGATCAGTTGATAATTGTGAGCATTTATGGAAATTTAAGCATAAACCATATGTTGAAGAAGTTAGTCTTGATTTCTTAGATGTACTGATAACTTCAGTTGTGTAGTAAAATGTTTTTGTTCTGAGAAGATTCATGCTGAAGGATTTGAGGATGAAGTAATTACCGTAGCCTGTTTTGTGGCTTTTTTAAAGTAAAAAGATAATCTATAAAGGGTAATGTAGTAGATGTGTGAAAATATTAACTTAATGAATCTAGGAAAGGAATGTTCAGGTAGGTTTTTATTGTTATAGTCTGTCAACTTCTCTGAAATGTTCAGAATATCTGAATTTTTTTTTTCTTTTTCTTTTTCTTTTCTTTTTTTTTTTTTCCGAGACAGGGTTTCTCTGTGTAGTTTTGGTGCCTGTCCTAGATCTCACTATGTAGACCAGGCTGGCCTCGAACTCACAGAGATCCGCCTGGCTCTGCCTCCCAAGTGCTGGGATTAAAGGTGAGTGCCACCACTGCCTGGCCTGATCTGCCCAGTTCATCTGAGATTTAAACACATGGTATCTGACTCAGTTTTTCTGCCCTTTGTATGCTTATGGACCATATATGCCATTTAGAGTATTCAGAACAAAATCTCCATAAGTCTAACATCAACACTAATTTGTCTTTTTCTTTTTTTAAAGTTTTCTTTAGAGTCAATCAAGATACATCTAGATGGTAAGCTATTTTTTATCTGTACATGCACTAAAGCTTTGTCTACACTCATCCATTTTTTAGTAATAAATATTCATAGAACTCAATAATTAGTTCATCTTATAAAGGGCCTGGGTGTTTATGTAATTTCATTCTGCAATGTAACAAAGTCTAATACTTTTTATTTGGGAAAAAATTATGTTTTATAAATGAAGATTTTTTTTGTTTATTTGTTTGGTTTTTGGTTTTTGGTTTTGGTTTTTCAAGATAGGGTTTCTTTTTGTAACAGCACTAGCTGTCTTGGAACTTGCTCTGTAGACCAGGCTGGCCTCAACTCACTGTCTATGCCTCTTGAGTGCTAGGATTAAAGGCATGTGTCACCATTCCCAGCTTGAAATTCTTAATATATATAGAGTATAGTAAATGATTAATTTTAAGCTTGTATTTCCCGTTTGTGGTATACCAGCTTAAACATTTACTCCTTTTTCCATTTTTGTTATTTCCCTCTAGGACCAGAAAGTGATCCTGTAGAGATTATTTTAAATACCTCTGATCTAACTAAATGTGAATGGTGTAATGTCCGGAAATTACCAGTAGTGTTTCTGCAAGCCATACCAGCAGTTTATCAAAAGCTGAGCATGCAGCTGCAGATGAATAAAGAAGATAAAGTTTGGAATAATTGTAAAGGAGTGAACAGGTTAACAAGTAAGTTTTGTAGACAAATTACAACTAAGGTAGAAGGTCTACGAGTTAGCAGGATAGGAGTGTTTTAGAAAGTGGAAGGTTTTATCAGTCCAAGAGAAGTTGAAGCAATGACTTCAGGTAGGTCATCACTTCATTTGGTACCATCTGAAATGGGTGTAGCAGCCTCTGAGGAAAAGCCCACAGAAAGTAGAAGGGTTGAAGATAAAACTTGGATTTATCTAAAGCATTTAGAAAGTTTGCAAATTGGGTTAAAACTCAAAAGATCTGAAGTCCGTAATGCTAAGTAAAATGAATTTAACTGATGTGACCAGTTAACTGATGGAACTAGGACATTTTAAAGTCCTTGGAAGCGGTCTTTATCCTTTAAATAAATTCAGTTCTTTACACAACTATTCACTGTATAAATACATTTTGAGCTGGAGAGATGGTTCCGTGGCCAAGAGCACTGACTGCTCCTGCAGAGGACATGGGTTTATTTCCCAAGCACCCACATGGCAGCTCACAGTTATCTGTAACTCCAGTTCTAAGAGGTGTAATGTCCTCTTCTGGCCTCTGTGAGCACAGGAACATAAGTCCTACATGACATACATGAAGGGAAACGGATGTACACACAATTTATAAAAACTCAATACATTTTAGCATTAATGGCAGCTTCAGCTTAGCAGTCAGTAAATGCTAATATAACTGTAAAACCTGACACATCAGTGAGCACCAGCTTTGCAGGTCTCATCTGGAGATAATACTGTGTGCTTGGCAGTTTCCTGATCATTCTTGGCAGAAATGCTAATTGATATTTATTTATGATTATGAATTAGTTTTAATCCTTTTAGAACTGTGGGTTCTCAACCTTCCTAACACTGTAACCCTTTAATATAGTTCCTCATGTTGTGGTGACCTCCAACCATAAAATTATTTCATTACTACTTAATAACTGTAATTTTGCTACTGTTAGGAATCATAACGTAAATATCTGATATGCGACTGCTGTGGGGATAATGACCCACAGGTTGAGAGCTGCTGTTTTAGCAGAAGCAGATTGCTTACATATTTTTTTTTTTTAATATCTTTGTTAATGTGCTACTGCTAGATCTGGTTCCTTTGTTTTTTGTTTTTGTTTTTGTTTTTGTTTTAATTTATTTATTATGTATACAGCATGTATGACCAGAAGAGGGCACCAGACCTTATTACAGGTGGTTATGAGCCACCATGTGGTTGCTGGGAACTGAACTCAGGAGCTCTGGAAGAGCAGTCAGTACTCTTAACCTCTAAGCCATTTCTCCAGCCTGGGATCTGGTTCCTTTGTTTTGGTAACTTAGTTAACATTTCTAGGTAACACTCCTCATTTTTCCAGTATTTAGTGTGTGTCCCTATGTACTAAACACTGTTATGGATATATATTCCAGAACTGTAATCACCTAGGAAATAATTAGTTGATACTCTTCTTATTTGTATGGGCAAATGCACATGTGTGTGCAAGCACAGATGTGTGGAAGCCCGAGGTCAACTTCAGGTATTGTCCAGCTTTTGAGACACTGTCTTTCACTGCCCTGAGACTTACCATATAGCTAGACTGGTGGGTATGCAAACCACGGATCTGCCTGCTTCTGTCTCCCCCACTGGGATTACAAGCCTGTCACACCACACCCAGCTTTTTGTGTGGGTTTGGGAATCAAACTGAGGTTCTTTCTCATGCTTGGGTAGCAAGCACTTTACTGACTGAATTATCTCCCCAACCCTCCAACCGTCTTTGCCTTTTTTCTTCTCTTTCTTTTTTTGAGAGAGATTGTTTCAGTATTCACTGTGTAGCCCAGGCTTTCCACCAACTCTTGGCAATCCTGCCTTCACTTTCCAAGTGTTGGAACTACAGACACAGTCACCACACCCATCACTGGTTGGTATGCTCTAAAGTTGTTTATTACTTATTTTTTTCTTTCAGCCTTATAGTTATATTTATTTCTTTACAGGTTTAGAAGAACAATACATTATTTTAATTTTTCAGACTGGCCTTGATCCTCAGGCAAATGTGGTCTTTGAAAGTATCATTACTGACATTGGTATAAAGAATAATGTTTCCAACTTTTTTGCGAAAATTCCTTTTGAAGAAGCCAATAGCAGACTTGTTGCCTGTACAAGAAGCTATGAAGAGAGCATCAAAGGAAATTGTGTGCAAAAAGAGAACAAAGTGAAAACTGTAATTATATTTACAAATCTTAGTCATTTTAATGATGGGTAATTCTGTTTGTTTTTTGTGATGCTGGGGATCAAACCCAGGGCTTTACATATGCTAGGCAGATACCTTGCCGCTGAGCCACACCCTCAATAATAATGAGTAATTTTAAAATAAAATGTTTTAATATTGCTCATTTTAATGTTAGACTTCAAAAAATCCACTTTAAAATTAAAGATATTTAAATTTTAAAACAGTATTTGATACAAGTTTTGGGGTCTTTTTTAGTTCCTTTCCACACTCTGTTCTGGTCCTTTTTCTCCCGTCTTTCTCTCTGTACTGCTTTTGAGCATACATAGACAGACACAGCTCATTTATATAGATTGTTACCCTGTGTCCTAGGGCTGAGGTTTAGGTCCCCTGTGCATAGCACACACTTGTTTTAACGTAATTGACAACATTGGAAGTAAAGATATACTTTGACTTTGTGAAAAAGTGCATGCAGTTATATAGAAATGCTTCAGAGTTAGGTAACTCTCAAGCTGTGTGAACCATAGGCCATGGTAGAACTGTGCCGTTTCTACAGCTGTTGGGTTCTATTAGTTTTGAGGTTTGCTTAGTTTATTGGGAATAAATCTCTCAACCTGGCTGCAAACTTAGAAATGTGGCCTATTCAAGGCATAATTTGATGGGGTTCGTTCATTTGTTTCAGGGTCTTGCTTTATAAGCTAACCACAAACTGGCTGCCCTGCTTGTATGTCTTAGGTTCTAGAATACACCTGTGCCCACCAAACCCAGCTGAAAACTTGTTTTTTTCTCACTCTGTAACTCTGGCTGGCCTAAGACTTACTATAGACCAGGCTAGCCTCAAACTCACAGTAATCTGCCTTTTTCCCACTCTTACTTCAAGGGCTAGGATTAAAGGTGTGCACCACCACGCCTGACAAACTTTTCTTTTTATTGCTCTCTTGTGCCATTATTCTTCATCTCCAATGAGCTAGCTATATATCTACCCACAAGACACAGTCTTACTAACTAACCTCATACATGTAGTGGGAGGCAGGAAAAGAGAGAGCAAGAAATCCTGCCTCTTTTGCAGGATTTTGACTGCTGTCAGAAAAAAACAATGTTGGGGTTTGTTTACTTTAGAGGGTCTTCTCTTACCAGTCTGATTTAATAGGAATAGTAGAAATAAGAACTGGAAAGCCATTATTATATTTGGTCTGGAAGTGAAAGTCACCCTATTCCTGGCTGTTTTTGTTGCTTCTCAGTCATATATATGTTTATATGTATGTGTGTATATTATATATATATAATTTTTATTTATATTTTGCAAGGCAGGATCTTGCTGTATAGCCCTGGCTGCCTTCAAAGTCCCTTTGGAGACAAGGCTGTCTGAAGCCTGTAGTGAGCCTGCCCATGTCTCCTGAGTGCTTTTTGCATTTTTCCATTGAACACCTTTTCTGCCTTGATCTTTTTATTTAAAAAAAAAAAAATTCCCAATTAACTTCACAAATTGGTTATTTTCTCTACCAGATGTCCTTTGAATCTAAAATACAACTTAGAAGCAAACAAGAATTGCAGTTTTTTGATGAGGAGGAAGAAGCTGGAGAGAGCCATACCATCTTCATTGGCCCTGTAGAAAAGTGAGAAAATTCTTTTTTGTATGCAGTACTTAAAAATGTCTGTTTCT